GGTGCTCTGTTAGGGTTATATAAAAGTGCATGGGTCTCTCTAGAAGTGCACACTTAGCTGAGCTCAGCCCTTTGAAGGATTTTCATATTTTGAACACATTACCGCATACTTTTTTAAGTTAAAAGGTAACACTTCTGCCACTTTTCACCTAATTCCTTATTTCCCCCAATCCATCACACATTACCTTCTCGACTCCACCCCCCCCTCCCCTTCGGACTTTACCTGCGTGGGGCGGGTGTTGGCGCGGGGGCCTGCATCCCTGTGGAGCCTGTGTTGAAGGGCTCCATTCTCGGAGGGCAGTCCGTAGCTGGTGCAGTGTTCAAAAGGCATATACTGGTACTGGGGAGCACTACCCCACCAGCTCTGCTCGCCCCCACGCCGCAGGGACTGGGATGGCTGCATGTTCCCTCCCTGGGCCAGGCCTCGGCCTGCTTGCCCCTGTCCACCCCCCAATACAGCTCCTTAAGCCTGTCCTCTTGCCTGTCCCCAAGGCGTCTGGGGCAGCATGCCCACCCCCAGCTATTTATAGCCATCTCTCCGTCACATGACCCCCCCACTGCCACATCTGATCTGCTTGGGGTCGAAGCAGGTGTGAGAGCAGTGTGGGGGAGGGGTGGGGATGAGAACCTGAGGGACAGCCCCACAGGGAATTCCCTCAGCAGGGCCAGCAGCACTGTCCCCCTCCATCCTCACAAGGAGGCTTCCAGGCCCAAGCCGCCGGGCACTCTATAAATACCATTTAGACCAGGATGGGAAAGCAGCTCAGCACGCTCTCCGATCTGTGTGCTCCCAGCGAGTGTCCCATCCTTTCTTCCATGCATGGAAGGTGAGAGGCGGGTGCTGGATGGAGTGATTCTAAGGTCTGAGGACCCTGGAGGGTAACTCACCGGAGAGAGTAACGGGTGCCTCTCTGCCATCTTCCCCTGTTGGGTTGCTCCCAGCTTGGTATCTTCCCAAGATCGAGTCCTCATTTGTTGGACCAGTTCTCCCAACTCATCCGATTTTCAGTTTTCTCTTCCAGCTTTGCTATTTGTATCTGCCAGAGGCTGCTAATAATGCTTTGGTATCATCTCCTTGACCACACCCTTATTACCCACTGGGTGTGGGAAGCAAGGGTAACAACAGCCTTGAGTTCTGGCCTTTCTCCCACTTCCCAGACAGATACGTCAGTCACTTCAGAAGCCTGGACTCTTAGGGAGGGACTGAGCTTCCATTTAGACTGTGGAGCGCCTGCCTAGGTCTGTCAGGGCAGGTGAGATAACGGGAGAAGGGGAAGTGGGTCAGGGGCATAGGAGAGAATTGGGGGGAGAGGGTGGCTAGGAAGAGAGTAAGTTTATCTCATTACAAGCCCCACAAACATAAAAGATGACAGGGGAAGTACTCTGCTCTTCTTCCCCTTTTCAGATCAATAATTTTTGGCCAAGGCCAAACTACTCTATCTGGTGTCATTTTCTTTTTTTAAACTGACTTTCCTAGGACATTCCTTCCCCTGTGAACTCTTCACCTTAGAAAAAAAGTTACAAACATGAGCCAATGAGTAGTTTAGAATCTGTCACAGTAGGGTCTGCCCCAGGACACTCCAGGTTCATGGACTACAGAATAGGGACACCATTCGTGTGGTCTACAGTTAAAGCTTCATGTCAGCTAAATGAAACTGTCCAAAGCAGGTGAGATGGATGCCATTAAAAGCAGTTTTTCTGGAGCACCAGGCAGGCTCATTTGATGGAGCATGTGACTCCTGATCTTGGGGTTGTAAGTTCGGGCCCCATGTTGGGTACAGAGGTTAGTTTAAAAAATAAATCTTTAAAAAAAAAAAAAAGCATGTTTTCAAACATAAATCCTACAGCTTGAAGGCCTATCATCCACCACCATCGATTAAAAACGTGATGGTCTGAGGGACTGAAGGCTGTGACATTCACCTTCTTGGCAGGCAGAACAGAAGAGATCTAAGGATTAGGTATAAGGTGAAAGGAATACTTTCTTAATAAGAAGGGCAGAGTGACAAAGTGAAAGTAGATTCTTTGGGGGGCTTTGGAAACAGAAAGGCTGTCACCTGTTTGTGGAGTATGGCTCTCCTGAAGGTAGCCAGTTTCTACAGGGACTCGATAACCCCGAGAACACTATTACTATTTCTTTACTATCCCTTAGAAAATCAGGACCTGGTTATGGATTCCAAGATTTGAAGGCAGAGATCAGTGGGTTTGGGAAAATCCTCATTCCACCAACTCAACTAGAAATGCCAGCTGCGATTCTAAACACCAGATACTGAACTTGGGGTCACGGAAACATATAGCTGCTAATGCTGCAAAGCAAGGATTTGTGAGTAATTATCTTGAGTTTGACATTAGAAATAGTTAAAATCTCATGGGCTTTTAAGGGAACAAGAAAATAAAATATAAACTATGCCACCCTCCTCCCAACCACCCATGAGTACACTGCTTAGGTTCTTATTTGGAAGACGAGTTTCTGGGGAGTTCTGAAAAACTCTACAACCTGGAAAACAAATTTGTAAGCATACGTGCATTCCATAAGGTATGTATCCTGTGTAAGGTATATATCCTTCTGAGGGCTTGAATAGATAATCTTGAGGTCCATAACACTAAAAAGTAAAACCTATAGACTTATGGAATTGCTATTTGAAGGAAGGTTGTAAAAAATGACCATATGGAGCACATGTGTAGGGGAAAGTGTGTTGGGAGTATAGGTGGGTGTGAATGAGCCAGCCCTTTGGCCTCCCATCAGTTTAAGCATGAACTTTCTGGGTTACACTCTTGTTCAGATCTCGTCAAATCTGGCATCCCAGCTTACTGGACAACACATCACTACACTCTCTTTCAGGGGCTTCCAGTTACCACTTTCCCTCTGCACAACCAGCCTAGCACCAAACCCACAACCGCTTACTTTCTAGTTTCAACTAGGCAAGTATGACCCTCTCACCCCATACTCTCTAAATGTACTCATGGGAAGTCATTTCTCCTGTATTCTCCATTGGACCCTGCGCCCCCCAGATCTTTACAAATCCCAGTCCCTTCCAAGGCCTACGGAAGGCCTTCCTGGTAGCAGTGGACAAGTCTCTTTCCCTTCTGTTTTTTTTTTTTTTTTTCAAACATGATACACTTTTTTGGGGGGCCTATTCTCTACCTAACTGGCACAAAGATGGAATAGTCTTTGGCCTCAGGTTCATTCTCCCAGCTCAATGGGAAACATCTTTTTTTTTTTCCCCAAGAAGTGTGAAAAAAAGAATCCCATGCTAGGAAGTCACAGAAGCAATATTGTTAGCAAAGCGTACACTCAAGCTAACATTTGGTTTCACATCCTGACCTGTTTCTATAAAGGCAGTAACTTAGGGGGCTGTGGTAATAAAAATGCATGCCAAAGACTTACCAGTGTTTGCCCCCACAGTAACCACTGGGTCTGAATGCCTGTTACCAAAACTGAAGCTCACTGTGCCAGCTAACCATCCTCCAGAGTTGTTTTTTTTTTTCTCCCTCCAGCGTTTTTAATGTGTTAACACTTCGTCGTTTACCATGCAGATTTAATCCTCACAGGGACCTTAAAGGAGAAACAATTTTCCTCCTTCTTACTTAGCTAAGGGAAACTGAGGTTCCATGAGGTTAGGTACCTTAGTTAAGGTCTCCAGTATCTCAAAAGGTTGAGCCAGCATTCAAAATCTATTTAATTCTAGAGTTCATGGCCTTAAAGCTACATTTCCTCCTTTTTTTGTGTATTTGAAGTCTCTGAGCCTCATTTCCCTCTTCTGAAACGACGACTAGGAAAATGACTACCTCAATTTCCTGCAGGGACCTGCAGGGAAGGCAGACTGTGAAGGTGCAAGTGCTCCATCGGCTATGGCCATCATTACTGTGTTCCTCCTCCGACCAGAGGCTTGCCCTGCCCGCCCCTTGTATCCTGGCTCTCCTCTCACGGCCTTTTCCTCTTCCCCCTTGCAGGAAGCAGGATGGAGGAGAGCAGCAGAGAAGGGCAGCCCCCAGCTCAGGGAGGGGGATAATTTTAGCAGAGAATCCCTGGCAGAGGTAGCAGGGGGGGAAGGGAAGAGAGCTATGAAACTCAACCTGATACTCTCATTCAAGGGCGGGGTGGGAAGGACACAATCCGGGTCGCCTTTGCTCTGTAATTCCCAAACACACCACACCTCCAGAAAGCTTGCCTATGCTGGAAATGGGCACTTTGCTTACTCCCACGGCTCCAGTAATTTCTTAACCTCTGAGACTTTGCATTCCTTCCTCCCCTGAGAGCAGCCCCTGCTTTCTCTTTCGGTGTAGCCAACCGGCTTTTCATGCTTTTCCTGTGTTCTTTCTTCAACCAGTTCCCTTTCCTACACTTGCTGATATGCTTCAGCTCAACTTAATCTCTTTGGGCTTTTCCTCCTCTGTACCTCTCAACCACTTTCCCCCAGGTCCCACTGATACTTCCTACCAAGATGTTCCTACAGAATTTCCCTATCTTGCTAAGCCTCCAAAGCCCACGGGCACTTGCAAGATCGCCTCTCCAGGCACACACTTTGGATTACACTGCACCCAAAGAATTCCCCAACCTACAGAGCCCACTGCTTCTATCTCTTTTGTGCTGCCCTGATTCCTCTTATATAGTCCATGTCTACTCTAAAAACTTTAAATCCAGCTTGGGACCATGTAAATTCTATAATCCTCACTACCCTCCAATTCTAGTTCAATCTCTTTCACCAGCCTCCGTCCCATAATCTACATAATCCAGAAACAACACTGCTTGCTAATGACTCTGGTCTCCTCTGACACTGAGAAATCCCAGTGCCAGCTGTATTTTGGGCAGTTGACTGTGGCCTGACAGCTGAGATGGGCCCCCACCTGTATATATAACAAAGATCATGGTGGCAACAAAAGAAGGGTGTTCAGCTCTGTGTTCACCTTGGAAGGTGGTGAGGAATGCTATAAGAGGCTAAGCAAATGAGAATAGATGAGCTTCAGAAGATTATCTGTGGAAAAAGAGATGTCAGGCACACATCAGAATAAATATGAGCATTTATTTGGCACCTGAAGGCAATGTAAAATCCTGGCAGTGGGAAGTGGAAAGGTTCTATAACCCAAATACTTCCATATGATACTGACCCAAGGGTAGGGCTCGGCAACAAGTCTCCAAATCACCCAGCTCACAGAACAAGTATTAACTGAGCACCTGAAGTACTACAGGCTGAGCACTGTGCCAGGGACCATGCGAGACATGGAGGACATTGTCTGACACATGATATCTGTCTTCCCGAGTTAGCAGTATCAGTGGATAAAACAAAACACATGGAAAAACCCAAAGTATAAATACTAAACTGTATATACTGTTAAAGGGAAGTTTTGTCCAAAAATAGGATTCTAGCTAGGGTTGCTTTTTTCCTTCCATCACCCAAAAACATTTAATGAAGACCTACCATGTGCCAGGCACTGGGTATATACTGGTGAACAAAAGAGACAAGGTTTCTATCCTAAGGGAGCTTACAACCTAGTAATGGAGACAGAAATGAACAAGTGAAGCAAGCAAATACATAATTATAAATCATGCTAAGTGCAATGAAGCAATTAAACAGGAAGAACACGGAAGGTTATTTAGAGATAGAATGGCCTGGGAAGGCCTTCTCAAGAAGGTGGCATTTAAGCCAAGACTTGTGAGGAGTGGAGTTCAGTAGACCCCAGAAGAGTGTCTGCGATGGTCCAGGGTAGGATAGAGCTCAGAATGTTTGAGAAACTGAGGACGGCGCTGGGGCAGTCACTTGGAAATCAGCCTTTTCCGAGGTTCAAGAGGAAGGTAAGGGCCCTGCAGGCAAAAAGTTAGGAGTCTGCACCTTACTTCAGGTGTAAAAGAAATAAAAGCAGGGGAGTGGTATGATCAGATTTATACTTAAAAATCCCAAACCAGGGCAGCCCGGGTGGCTGATTGGTTTTGTGCCTTCAGCCCAGGGCGTGATCCTGGAGACCGGGATCGAGTCCCACGTTAGGCTCCCTGCATGGAGCCTGCTTCTCCCTCTACCTGTGTCTCTGCCTCTCTCTCTCTCTCATAAATAATAAAAAAAATCCTTAAAAAAAAAACAAAACCCAAACCAAAATCTGTCCTAGATTAGACTGGAGGGGGCAAGAATAGAAGCACAAGAGAAGGCCCGAAGAACAGGAAAAGCAGATACATGGCACAGATAAAGGCTTCTAGGGTACATAGCACATAGAGCAACAGCTTCTCTAAGATGGAGACATAGGAGAAGGGGACACAGGCCATATGAAATCAAAGGGGATTTAATACTGAAACAGAAAGCAGGAAAAAGCTACTACATTATATCTACAAGCAGCCAAATGATCCAATTAAGCAGTATTTTCTAGACTGATTTGGTGGCGGCAGTAAATGGGATGAAGGGAGAGATGAAGGGGAGAAAGGGGAGAAAGAGGAAGTAGGGAGATAACAACTAGGATGCTTTTTTTTAGAAAAAGACACTTCAGAGGAAGCAAAAGATAAGGTGACAGGTTACAAGGTATGAGGAAGAGTACCACTTTTATCTGCCTCCACTAGTACTCTCTGCTGAGGTTCACTTCAATAACAAAGCTGAGAGAGAGAATAACTGATTAGAAGATCTTTGGAACTTCCCCAGGCAAAGATCAGTGAGTTCCAGGTACAAGGTGTCCATGCTGTAAACTCTGCTGAGAGGCTGGATTCCTAGAGCCCAAAGGAACTGAGAGTGGAGCGGACAACACTGCCTTCCACTGGGTGGCCTTGTGGTACTGCAAGGGGGCACACAGGTCACCACCACGCCCTTGGTGGCACCTTGCCGCCAGTCCCATTTGTCCTGAGACTAAACAAAAAATGCCTACGCTGAAATCAGGACACCTTCCAAACACTCAGTCTGGTATAAATGGGGTTGGAATAGGGAAGAAACAAAAGACAGGAGATGGTCTCTGAAACATCTTAGCTAATGTAATAAAAATAATTACCAAAGTGCCGGTCTACAAAAGCCTTGGGGGCAGGAACCGAATGCAAACAGTGAGGGAAACCCACAGGCCCTCTCCCCATAAAGACACTGTGTTCATTATATTGTTGGCCAGGCTCCTCTGCAGCAGCCAAACACTCCTGACAAGCGGTCCAGCCAGACCTGGCTCTACAGGAAGGGAGCTTCCACAGGAGGAGCTGGCCTGTGGTCCTGCACGACAAGGCAGAGATGACAGGCATACTCCACAAGCCTGAGAGACTCCCAATCCCTGAGGGAGAACAGAAACCGTGCATCGGAAGAAAAGAGGCTCCATCAGGCCTCCAATGGTCCAGCAGCCTCCATGTGGCAGGGCGGTGGGGACGGCATCACGTGGGAGGGTGTCCTGGGAACAGGTAGAGGTGCCGGCACAGGGTGCTGCAGTACTCAGACATCTCCTTGCAGCGGTGGAACTCGGTGCCGGGGGCGTAGCCTTCACGCTCCTTGATGAGCGCGTTCACCTAGGGGGGACAGAAACCCATGGTCCCCAGGCTGAGCATCTGGTGTTTTCACCATCCCAGCACGAGGGGAAGGCTACAGAGATGACAAAAGACATGGCGAGGGAGGAGGAGGGTGGAACCTGTGCACATGGAGCTGAACGGAGGCTACCGACCTTCACAAGCATGTCGGCCACGTGCGTGTCACAAGCCCTCTCGGAGAACACTTGAGTGAGGGCCTCAATGTACCAGGAACCCCGTTTGGTGTTCCGCATGGCAGCAGTCCCTGTAACCAAGGACAGGTGTTAGCCACAGTGGAAGGTCGAGGGATAGCTTGCATGGCTGGACGTCCCAAACTCAACTTCTGTAGCACCCTGTACCCTCCCCTGTCAGAGCGCCAGATGAAAAAGCACACATCCCGGAGAGTGCATCCTCGGACCCCTCTCTGGGAACTCAGAATACCTCTGAGGCAGGCATAGCCACAGATCATGTCTGAGCGTGTGGGCAGTCGGGTTTTCAGCAACTCCTCTTTGCTGGCGTCACTCTCCTCGCACTCAGAGGATCCCATGTGGTTCTTTCCATCTTGCTGGTCGACCCCACGGTCGGTTTCATCTGTAGCAAAGGCAGACAGAACGGACAAAGATGTTATTTCCTCCCATGGCTCTTGGGCCTGCCACAGGCCAGCTAGAGGTCCCTGCCACCTTGACTGGGAAGAATCATTTCCAGCTGCTGTCTCCAACCTCTGGCTGATGAGTTAAAAAAAAAAAAAAAATCATTACTCCCACTCCTGCCCAGCATGCCTCCATTACTCAGAGGAGTACCCAGAGGCCAGCACTATGCTCAAGCATCTGCAAACAGACGCGGTCTGAGCTTTATCCACTCTGTGTAACATGGAAAGTGCTGATCAAACACTCCTTGTAAATAGAACTAAAAATCGTTACGTCCCTAATTTATTTGTTCAGTTAGCAATATACCTGGAAGTCATGGTGCTTTTTATGACAATACACAATTAAACACTGATAATTCAGTTTTACACATAAAAAAGAAAAACCAAGTTAATAAACCAATAATATGATTACTATGTGCATGCTATATAAAAATCACCTCAAATCTATGTATTAATAAAATATTATAAAACTTAACATGATCAGAAAAAAAAACCCAAAAAACTAAACATGATCAGTTTCCAAATCTCTCTCTCTCTCTCTTTTTTTTTTTTGGGAAAATTTTTATTTATTTATTCATGAGAGACACAGAGAGAGAGGCAGAGACATAGGCAGAGGAAGAAGGCGGCTCCCTGCAAGGAGCCTGATGCAGGACTCAATGCTAGGACTGTCGGATCATGACCTGAACCAAAGGCAGACGCTCAACCACTGAGGCCCCAGCTGCCTTGTCTTTTGGTATTTTTAAGTTATTTACTCATTAATTTCGTAAGCCAAAGTGTAGCAGGCATCCAAGATTTAAGAGAAATTTATAAAAGGAAAAACTTAAAAAATTGGAATAATTTGACTATTTTCCTCATATGATTAAAAAAGAACACCATTACTCAATTTTAGCAGTTTTTTTCAACATACCCTGAGTACATGTCTAACCTCCTGACCCAGGCCTTATCTATGCCCAGACATATTCTTATTTGACACTGCAGTTTGATTTTGGAGGTGGGTGGGGGTGTGATCTGTAGGAAAGAGACAGGGAGGACACACACGTCAACACACCAAACATAAGAGAGCAGAGTCTTCTACAGGACTTCCTGCTCCATGCAACACAGAGGACCGAGAAGGCAAGTGAGACTATGGAGAGAACTATGGAGAAATGACCAAAATTCACTGACCCAACAAAAAATTATCAAGCAACTGCCATGTGCCAGGCACTATTTTGCATTAACCCTAAGGATGTCAAGATTCCTGCCCTTATAAAGCTCACACTCCAGTTGAGGATCCAGCCAACTAGGAAGGGGCAGTAATTTTACAGACATCAATTATATTAACCAAGCACAACACAACACAGGTGAGCTCAGATCTTCAAAGGTCATCTCTTGAAGGATTTCATTTTCAAGAAAGATTCAGGTTGCCCCAGGAAAGAGCAGTTTCTCTCTATCCAGACCTGATATTAAACATGTCTCTGAATATAGAAAGAAAAAATGATCACAGATGTCTTTATTTCATTTTGTTTTGCCAGTAATACCTCCTAAAGGACACAAGCCAAGCTAAATCTGTCCCTCAAGAAAAAGGAACTTCTTTCTTCCCTCCATGTCTCAGATCTATTAATCAATAAGTATTACTGCTTCTTCCAATAACATAATATTCCATCTGTCTTCCGTATTACTGTAACAATTTTTGAGGAGATTAATTTCATCCCTTTGTTCAGTATTTATTAAGTGCTCCCATATCAGACAGTGGCCTGGGCCTGGGCATCCAGCTGGTAAATCAACAGTAAGTTCCCGCCCTCACATACTCTTTCCTCATTGCAGCTCCCCAGCATGGTAATCAGCCTGGGGAAGAATCCATCACATTATTTCCTGAGCTACCAACAGCTCCACACCGTTATCTGAAGTCCAAAATCTCAGTTTGACTAAAAGCTGACCATCAGCTGGATGGATGTACCTCCTGCAGCCAGCCTGGTCTTACTACATGCCTACACAGATTAAATTAGATCCGGGCAGACTTCCGGCCCAGCACAACATTTTGGGGGAGGGAGAGGATGATCTTTCAGTCTTGGTGTGCTTGTCACCTTGTATTCCTGTTTCCTCCGAAAGGCCCTATTTACTACTGACACCTAGGTAGATTTTATCATTCTGGGTCCAAATTAAGCCTTACCAAACATTAATACACTTACTAAATGTCTTTAGACCAATCCAATTCATACCAATCTACTCCCCACCGCTTACTCCTCATGTATGGTTTGTGCCTCACTGATTTCTCCCTTGCTCAAGGCCTCTGCATTATTCTCACGCCACTTCACGTACATTTGCTTTACCTTTCTAGTGACTGGTAGGCTCTTTTGAGAGACACATTTTCTCTCTCTCTCTTTTTTTTAAGATAGGAGTAGTTTGAAAGGCCACTTTTTTTTTTTTTTTTTTTGCTTTTGTGACAGCATCCTAGTCATGTTGTAGGGCCTAAATAAATTATATTCTTAGGTGGTATTAGGAAGAATATTATCAATGTTAATCATTTACATTTGTTGAACACACAAGGGATAAGAAAATGCTTTGTCCCATGTTAGGACAAAATGACTTTTAAACCAAACTGTAAGCCCCTTGAGGGCACTGACCATGCTCTATCAGTCACGGCTGGCCTTTGCTATGCTTTTACTATGAGCCAGGTACTGTGCTAGTAAGACCTTCACATGCATTCTTCCATTCAGTTATCACAACAACCTGATGAAGTAGGTCTGATCGCTACCCACATTTTATATGGAGAAAGTTAAGGCAGAAGGACATCAAGTAAACTTCTCTAAGTTTAACCAGTCTGTGGTTAGAGCTTTTAACTATTACTCTTTCCCTCCAGGATGAGAAGTATGCCCGCAGGTCTTCGAAGCATACTCTTGGCATCGCAGCTCTCAGAGGCTAAGAGACTGTACGCAAGAAAGAGGAGGGATCAAAGCAGCTGAAGGACGAGTGAGAGCCAAAGCCCGACTTGGGGTTTCCGCACTGCTGGCCTGTGAGATACACGCATGAGGCAGAGAAGAGGCACCGATGGAGCATAGATAAAAAGAGAGGGGAAGAGGTCTGGAGAGAGGAAAAGAGGAAGGGTACGAAGTGAGAGAAAGAAGAGATGGACAGAAGATCCTTAACTGCAATGAGTAACAAAAAGAAAAGCACACCCAAGTTAATATAGCACGGAAGAAGTGAGAGTTCTCAGGAGAGAAGGCAAAGGCGCTGACAAGGTGAGTCCTGAGAAGAGGATATGGTGGCGCACAGAGAGCTGACCAACCTGAGCGCCATGGGCTGCCCAAGTCCCAGCACACCCCATGCATTGGGAGACACTTACAGAGCAAGAGAGGCGGTGGCAGCAGTGAACAGAAGGTGCCCAAGGGATCCAATAGCACCTGAGAGGAGCAAACAGCAAAGTGAGAGCTGGTGGGAGGCTGCCCAGGAGCCACCACCCAAGTGTGGATCTGCCAGGGCACTCACCTCCACGGCAGGCCTGGATGAAGAACATTTTCGGCTTGTTCTGTAGGTTTGGGCAGCTGGCATTGTCAAAGAGCCGAAAAACTTCCTGAAGCTGCCAGAGAGAAAGAGAAGAGAAAGGAGGTTAAGTAGACTGTAGGCCTTCCTGAGTCCTGTATACACGACAGCAGCCACTACTAGAGATGGGCCGGCAGGAGGGGAAGTCACCTAGTGTGAACAGCTGTTGGCAAGAAGATGACACACACCTGAAGCAGTTTGCCGTCCACACCATAGATGCCTCCCTCCACGCCATGAGAGAGAAGTGCCACAATGCAGGAGTCAGTGACACGGTGGGCAGGCAACTGGGCAAAATTCTGGAGCTTCTCTTTCATTTCCTGGAGGAAAAACACATTTTAGTGTTGTCACTGGAGTCTGCACCAACATAATCTCTCTTTGGTGTTTGAAACGCTTTTAGAAAGAAAACGCTTTCTGTATTTACAATGTGGTCAATGATAAGAGAAGTCAGAGATTATGTGAGAGGCTAAAAAAAGCTACGGACTCACCAGAAAAATGCAGGACTTCAGAATATAATTTCACAAAACCCAAACTCACTGGGATATGTTAAGAACTCCTGAACTAAACCAAGTTACTAATGAAGCTAATTAACTTTATCTACTTGCCACTTTGGGAGTGGCAAGAAAGCCAATCCTTTCTTAGAGCAAATGCCCTTGTACATCAGTGGCATGACAGGGACCACCAGGTGAGCTACAAATGAGTAAAATACCTATCCAGCCATTAGGAAGGAAGCTGTTCTGACAAAGGGCTAATGGAGTCATGATAATAGGGAGTAACAGAACTTCCATACTGTTTTTGGTCTGAGATTTTAAATTCCCAGAGATGTGATGGTATCTGCACAAAATGCTCCATTCAGGGAAGAGCACACTGTTGGGAGGATTCTGCACAGGGCCACAGCTACACACATGAGCTACGGGATCAGACAGGTTTGACCCCTGGGTTCATAAACCTGAAGCAGGTATTTGGCCCCTCACAGCTCTAATGCTCATTCTATAGGAAGGTAATGAAGAGGAAATTTTATCCAAGTTCATGAAGATCAAATGAAATGCTGCACAGAAAGGATTTATAACGACGTCTGGCACATACTGCAAAGTCCTGCCATTATTATAATGTGCATATCTAACAAAGAGTCACGATGCGCTTTTTTCAAAGAAACGTACTCCTGGTCAATCTTGTAGTCCAACTTAAGATCTTGTCTGCTCTGCATCAGGTTGCCATCCATAAGTATCAAGAGTGACCTTAAGCATTTGGCCCATCCAATGGAGTATGCAAAATAGTATAATCCAACACAAACTGTTAAACCCATGTCTCCCTCTACAACACAAGATGTCGGCTCACCTGAGATGAGCAGAGAGAAAACAAGTTCATTTTACTGTGAATTTTAGTGAACTATAATGAATGTATAATGATAGCAATCTAGGCAGGACAGCACAACTTTATCTAACAGTTACCAGTTATGGTTCCTAGTAAAAAACACACTTGTATAAGACCTTGCAGCAGTTCTGGAAACTTGCAAAAACACAAAGTTTTGGGCCCCAGCAAACTGCGTTTTAATAAGCTCTCCAGGTAATTCTCACATGCTGAAGTTTGAGAACTGATCTATATTTGTTTGCAATACTTTTGTTCGTAATCACTTGCAAGTCTGCAATTACACTAGAAATGAAGAAATTGGCTTTATTAAAATGTATGTACATTTTCTGAGCAGAGAAGCCAATCATGATACTGGAAATCTTAAGGTTATCACCTTAAGATACACAAAATTCATCTATTAAAAGAATATATAATCTCAGAATACAGAAGTATGAATGCTTTTCTGGAGTTGATCATAATAGAATTTTAACACAGCATAGCTGAAGTTAATTTTGCTGGAAGAAGGCAATAAAAATGTATGTTTGGCACCTATTCAGGAGCATTTTGAACCTACACAAGACTGTCGATCAATAGAGATCAACAAAGCTCTAAGTAAGAACACACACATTCAATAACTGAATTTAATAGTACTAACCTGATAACTGGGGTTTATTTACTTTGGGGAAATTTTTCCAAAAGCAGCATAGCTTAAAAATAGGATCTCTAGATTTTTCTTTTTCTTTTTTTTTTAAAGATTTTATTTGTGTATTTGATAGAAAGCACAAACAGGGGGAGGGAGAAGTAGGCTCCCCACAGAGCAGGAAGCCCAATGCAGGGCCCCATTTTAGGACCCTGAGATCATGACCTGAGCTGAATGCAGATGCTTCACCGACTGAGACACCCAGGGGCCCCTATAGATTTATTTCTGATAAAATTACAAGTGCTTCTAAAAATAGCAAGGTTCTTTTGCCTGTGCTTTTGGCTGGTGGCTGGGGGACACAAGAGAAGAGAATAAACTATAAAGCCTCTGATGATATGCAAAATTTTATGGCTAGCTGCATTTTCCAGGGATAACCCACAGCATATCCTTACATTTTCAAGGCAGACTATGACCCAAATGCAAGTTAAAAATCAATACCACAGGATAAAAGGAAATTTGCCACTTTAAAACGTATCTCATTTCCTAATATATAATAAATTGTAATTCTAGATCTAATAACCTCAGGAGGGAGACACAGTGCAGAAGACTTTGATGATCAAGAGAAAAAGTGAAAACCTACAGAAGCAGTGAGAATACCCGTGTACTGTCTAGCACTGTCAAGTGAAGAGGGTTTTCTCTGACTACACTGCTTTGAATTTCTTTTTTAAAAGATAGATTGATTGATTTTAGACAGAGAGAGAGAGAGAGAGAGAGAGAGAGAGAGAGAGAGAGGCAGAGACACAGGAGGAGGGAGAAGCAGGCTCCATGCCGGGAGCCCGAGGTGGGACTCGATCCCGGGACTCCAGGATTGTGTCCTGGGCCAAAGGCAGGCACTAAACCCCTGAGCCACCTGGGGATCCCCCTGCTTTGAATTTCTTAATGCAATTATTTCTAAAGTCAAAAAGGTATAATGGGGGGAAAAAAGGATCTTAATTTTTTTGGTTTTCTTTGCTTACCAAATAATACCATAAAAATACTGAGTCCCTTGAGAAGTCCTACCAGGAAGTAAGGAAGTACTCTGTGAAGACACCTAAAGAATCAAATGAAACAAAACAAAGATTCTCTACCTCAACAAAGTGAATATCCTAGAAACTTTGCTTTTACCACTGACATTCCCAGTCAAGTTAAGAAAGTGCTATAATTCTGGAATCAAATGAAGAATGGGGGTGGGGGGGATGGGTGATACAGGTGAAGAGGATTAAGGAGCGCTGAATTACTAGTGTATACATGAAACTAATATAACACTGTATGTTAACTAACTGGAATTAAAATTAAAACTTTAAAGAGGAGGCGGAAAGGGATGGAGAAATGGAGAAAATGGAGGAAAAAAAAAAAGAATTGGTATCTATTTATCAGTTTCAGAACAGAAATACCTAAAGGTAACTAAGTCAGTAGTACAGCTCAGTAATTGGGGTTAACAGGGAATAACAGATAATGAAAATGCTTGTGATCTGCAGGAATCTAATCCAGAAATAATCTTCCTTAAGATCTGTCTTGTGGTCACGTAACTGGACAGACTAAGGAATTTCCCCACCATGGACAGTTCTAGCAAACGTCCATTTGCAAGAATGTCATTTGCCAAAGTAATCTTCTGAACAGTAACTGGAGTTATAAGCAACAATATCAACCAAGAAGTAAGTGTCCTGTGTTGTCCTGGCTTATAAATAGCTTTCCTGATTGGTGGGGCAAATCTCAGGGTGTCCTCAAATCCTGAGTGACTGGGAATGAAGTTTCTGAACTTCACTCATATATGCCCTAACCTGGGACCTGTATTATTCAGTGAGAGCACAGTGACCCCCAGAGGTTAACACCGAAGCAGCTGGCTGGCCCGAATTCTTTTTTTTTTCTTTACTAGATTGCAACATGAGACACAGAACAGAATGAGAAAAAAAGTAAGAAGAAAATAACTTGAGTAAGACCCATCCAGCAGGCAGAGGAGCAGAGGATGTTCCTGGCCCCAGTGTCGCCCAGCTCTCTAGTGTACACATTAGATGTACCTGTGCAGTCTGGTCAAGTAGAACATGGACTTTGTAGCCCAAGAGCTTGAAGAGGGTGACCAGAGTGCTGTGGTCCACATCCCCTCCAGAGCGAAATTCCAGGTCTTTCTCTCCAGTGAAGTGCACATTGCTCAGCACCAGTGCCAGGCCACGAGGCCGAGACTGTAACCTATAAGCCTGAGGGGTGAGGGGGAGATAATTAGAGCTTCTTATGGAGAGAAACTATGTTTCTTCAACTAAACGAGACATTTCAAGAAAACAAAGCCACCATACTCTCGTTAACCACACCAAGTCAGTACAGAGAAATGTTCAGAGACGATAACCAATAAGTACTGACTTTCTGACTGACAAAGGAGATATATATGCAAACTAAGTTCAGATGCCCAGGAAGGGTGTCTCATTTCCCAACTCTTCCTCCTGCATTCTGTAGAACTCACCAGCTGGTAGTGTGTTTGATAAAACTCGGGAGTGCAAGGCTTCACCTGAAGGCAAGGAGGACCATCTCCGTTGTCTAGGGAGTGTTCCACAGTATCTGTGGCACAGAGAGCCAAAAAAACTAGTATACAATCTATATATTAATCCCAGTACTTCATTATAACCCAAGGCACCTTGTTGAACTGGGGTTTTAATCATTACTAGTCTTGCTCATCGCCTATATTAGAAGATCCATGAGGGCATTTTTTTGCTCACCACTGGATCCTCTGCACTTTGCTCACATACAATAGATGCTTAACTCACTGAATGACTGAATGGGATATCTGATAAAAGCTTTGTTCTCATCACTAGACTACTCAGTCAAAAGGGTCTTTCCACACCCTAAAATATAAAGGTCAGGAATTTCCTACCTATACCAGTTGTTCTAAGGGTTAACTGCCATAAAAAAAATAATCAGTGATGGAGGGGAAGCAGGCCCAACCAACATCCCATCTAAACTCTAATGCTAGTCCTTAACAAATTCACTGAGGAGACTATCCCCAGTATGAATGAAAATAGGTATCGTGTAAGGGCAAAGTCAGATATCAGTCAAGAAAAAAGTCAACCTGTGGGATGTGTTATCCCATTGATTCTCACCTGGAGACAGGCGAAGCTGTTTCTGAGGGGGACAGGACTCACACATCGGGAAGGTGAGACTCAAGTCGTAGTCACAGCTCAACTGTAAGAAATCAGGACCCACCATGCCAGGCCTTAGGGAGATGGTCCAATCTGAATAAAAACACAATCTAGTCTCCCCTGCCCTGTCTCAAAAATTCCTTTCCCACCAAAACAATCCTTCTCAATATGTCACAGGTTTAGGGCTTCATACCGGTGGGAGTCCATGCTGAAGACCAGAGAGGGTTGTGAGCAACAGATCCTCCAGGTGACCCTGCTTGGTCTCCCTCAGGGCCACACAGAAGGCATCAAAAGCCTGGGGACCCCTCTTGGGCAGCAAGTTGAGAAGTTCCACATTTTGGCTGAAACCGCCCACTTTGGCCTAAGATAAAAGAATACAACATGAAATCATATTTACTTATTCAGCTCTAATTCTATTTCTCCAGATGACCTTCCCAGTAATCTCAAGAATCCTCTTACAGGAAAAATACATGTATGAAAGAAGTCTCTCCTATTTTTCTTTTTTTTTTTTTGAACGATTTTATTTATTTATTCATGAGAGAGAGACAGAGAGAGAGAGAGAGAGAGAGAGAGAGAGAGAGGCAGAGACACAGGCAGAGGGAGAAGCAGGATCCCAGTGCAGAGACCAATGTGGGACTCTCTCCTGGCACTCCAGGATCACACCCTGAGCCAAAGACAGATGCTCAACTGCTGAGCCACTCAGGTATCCTCTCTCTTATTTTTCTTAAATTACCTATCTTTTCTGTTAAAGGCTTGAGGATAGAAGAGTATTTTCATTTCCTTAGTGAGGTTCGACATCCTTAGCATACTTCATCATGCTCTGTCCCTACTCTTAAAACCAGTTTATTTATTTAGCATTTCTCTTTTTCTTCCAAATACCTGAATGTGCTCCCTCATTTCCAAGGTGATGATGTCCTTCTCCAGGAGGTGTTCTAACAGTTCACTCAGCAACAGCTGTTTGGCTAGCACCACTCGGTTCTTTTTTAGTGCTTCCTGATGATCAGGATGCATGCCACACACTCCCAGTATCCTACGATAAAAGGCAGAGGGAAAGGCCATCAAGCACAAGATCTGGCACAGAAACGTAGAGTGGAAGAGGTGTGAGTAGGAAGAAAAAAAAAGAATGGGACTTACGATAACCAATACTAGGCATATTTTACTGAATCTGGTTAAAATTGAAGTAGTATTAAGCAGTAATGCACTGATCATAAGGAGATAATATACAATCTTTTATAGAGAATGTTCAACCGAGACCATCTTCTGAGATGAATAGATTGTCTAGGGGAGGGAAATACCTAACTGGACCAAAATAATACACACAGAAGCACACATATATTCATGAGAAGGAAAACTCCTCTGTCTGACAGACCAATTTCAATTAAGAGATTATTCCAGAAAAGCTTTCACATCATTTATCTAGACTACTAGAAGTGATAGGAGTGAAAATGATCCTGGGTGAGAAATAAAATAATTTGATAAAATGGCAAAAGCCAATGGTTTCCCATTAAGGCCAATGGCTGGCTTTCAAAGGAAGTACATGACACAGGCTGACAGACACCCACATTACTCTCTAGCCCACTTTATACCAATTATACCTATTGTTTTTAAAACTTCAGTTCCTGTGACAAAATGACACTAGAAATGATCAGAATCCTTTAAGAATGAAGAACTGAGTAAGTAGCAAGTATACAAAGTCACAGTTGATAAACACCAGTGACAAACAACGTAACGAGATCACTTGAAACAGTTAAAGCATAAAGGCTAAATTACTTTGGTAATTTATCAGGGAGGTCTTTATTTCAAGGATTCCTTGGTTTTGCTATTGGGTTTGGAAAGGGCGGCTTCTGTTTGCAAATTTTAAAAAACCCATTTCCAACAGATTATCATCTCTGCACCTAGTTTATAGAAGTGCAGAGCTCCCCATCTTCTCAGTTTCCAAAAGCATGACAATAGTAAGGGCCTGATGGCAGTGAGAAAGGGATGAGATAACAGCTTTAGTTTATACCTAAAAAGCCTTTTCAAAATGAATACTGATTTCAAAAACATTAAAATCTGTGTGTGTGTGTGGGAGGAGGGGTTGGGCATCTTAGAATGAGTTAAATACTGTGCATTTATAGGATGTACTTGGCTTAACTCTAGGTTAAAGATTTATAGAGGAGGGAAAAGCAGACTCCTGGAATTGCTGAGAGAGACCCAAGAAGATGGCATGTGGGATCCTAAGGCAGAGAAAGTTGTCAGTAACTAACATTTCCAAGGCTGGAAGCAGCCAACTAGGGTTAAATTTGGGGTTTGGGACAGTGATATTTGAAATTCCATTTTGCTCTTCCTCTGTCTCTCATGAATAAATAAATAAAATCTCCCTAAAAAAAAAAAAAAGAAAGAAAGAAAGAAGAAAGAAAAGAAGAAAAAAGAAAAAGGGATCCCTGGTGGCTCAGCGGTTTAGAGCCTGCCTTTGGCCCAGGGCGTGATCCTGGAGACCCGGGATCGAGTCCCATATGGGCTCCGGCATGGAGCCTTCTTCTCCCTCTGGCTGTGTCTCTCATGAAGAAGTAAATAAAATCTCCAAAAAAAAAAAAAAAAAAAGAGAGAGAGAGAGAGAGAGAAACTCCATTTTAACTTCAGGTTTCCGTTCTATAGAAATACTATGACCCCAAACCTTCAGTAGAAACCCGCTAAAAAATACATCTTACAGAAATCAAAAAACCCATTTACGAATCACCTTAGAAAACACCAAAGCAGTGACAACGACTGCATATATGAAACTCTGGCAAAAGTAAGTGTTATTAGGCTAATTGCAAGACATCACAGCTGGATGCTGGTATTTCCTTAAGATACATATCACTCATATCATTTGCTGGGACAGGTTTACTCAAGTTCCTTCCCTTAATTTACCAGTGGTGTTTTCTCCTTAAAGCTTTCTCCTCCCTCGGTTTCCCTGATCCGATTCTGTCCAGTTCCTCTCTCCGCCTACTATGTTCCTGCTCCCTCACAAGACCTTGCAGCTGCCCTTAAACGTGGACACTCCATTAGGAACACCCGTCAAAGAGCTGCTGCTCCCGGATTCGATCTCATCCATCATCCATCGGGATGATCTGCTAATTGGCTCCCAGTTCTTAACTCTTTTCAAGTTCTAGATTAAAAATTTTTTTTATCAAGATTTTATTTATTCATAGAGACAGAGAGAGAGAGAGAGAAAGAGAGAGAGAGGCAGAGACATAGGCAGATGGTAAGGCAGGCTCCCCGAGGGGAGCCTGATGGGGGACTCCATCCCGGGACTCCAGGGTGACCGCCTGAGCCGAAGGCAGATGCTCAACCGCGGAGCCACCCAGGCGCCCCTAAACTTAAGACTTGCAATCACTAACTCATTAGGTTTGATCTGAAGCATTGACCGTTCTCCAAACCCTTGCTCCTCCCTGTAGTCCGCCTGAGTCGGAAAGCCGCAAATGTGGTCTCTCCCGAAGTGACCATGATCACCTGGAACTTCAGGACACGGACCGGGAAGGGAGGAGGGCGAGGAGACAAGGACACAAAGGCAATTCTTAAGCCTGGATGCGGTCTTTCTCCAGCTTCTGGCTCCACAGCCCTAAACGGATCTTCTTCTGGGCCTGCACCACGCACGGGGCGGTGAAGATGTCATCCGGGGTGATGTCGACCATGAGACACGCTTGGGGGGTCTCTGGGAACCACCTGGTCCTTTCAAAGTCCTCAGGCCCCAAAGCCGGTGGCGACGGCTCTGAAACCCTGATGAGGGCGGCCCGGGTGGCTCCGCGGTTGGGCCCCTGCACTGGGCCCAGGGCCTGATCCTGGAGACCCGGGATCGAGTCCCGCGTCGGGCTCCCTGCATGGAGCCTGCTCCTCCCTCTGCCTGTGTCTCTTATGGATAAATAAATAAAACCTTAAAAAAATAGATAAATAAAAATAAAAACGCTGGTCAATACGCGTCGTGATGGGGCCAATTCCGGGCTCCGCAGGTCTCGTCCGTTTGTAGGGGAACGGAGCAAAGCTCCTCATAAAGGAGTACGGGGAAAGGCGGGAGGGAGGATGTTTCGGAGAAGCGAGAGCGGGCGTCCGGGCGGAGCTCCTCCAGCTCACAAAGCAGGCCGGGGCGGCTGCTCCGGGGGCACAGGCCGACCGAGGCCGCCCGCGCGCCCCCCCCGCCCCCCGCGCGGCCAGGCCCAGGGGGCGGGGGCCCTACCAGCCACCTCCGCGACCCTCCCTCACTCACCTGCGCCCTCTGCCAGCGGCCGTCGGCGCCTTCCGCTGCAGGGCGGCCGGGCGGCCCGCGCTCGCCGCCGCCATTGACCGCTTTTCCCGGGCTGAGCGCGCACCGCCCACAGTCCAGGCAAACCGAGCGCCCTCGCGCCCTCCGCATCCCAGCCCCGGCCGCCCGCGCACTGCGCGCCTGCGCGCCTGCGCGGCTCCCAGCCCCGCCCCTTTCGTCGCCGGTGCGCGCGCAGCCCCGGAGCCCCGCCCCGGCCGCGCCGTCCAATGGGGCGAGAGAGCGCGCCGGGCGGAAAGGGAAGGGGCGGGGGGAGGCGTCGCCCCGCCCTGCGCCGAAACCCGATTGGCCGGCGGTTCCCGCGGAAATCACGGCCGCCCTGGGGCGCCTGCCCCCGCGCCTGCCTCCCCCGCCCCTGGGCCGCGCGGTCACGGGCTGGCCGCGCTTTCCGCTTTACTGAGTTGTTGGGGCCGGGCCCGAGGAGATGGAGAGCCCCGCGAGGCGCTAGGTACCGCCCCGAGGAGGAATGCCCGAGTGGGGAGCGCACCCCTGGGGGGCGGGGCAGCTCCCGGCGGCCAAATCCTACGACGTCAACGGCCGCAGAACATTCCAGAAAACGTGGTGCGGCGTTAGGGATCCGAGGAAGGTGCGGGGGGCTGGGGCAAAACCCCGCAGTCGGAGCGCAGGTGTCCTGAGACAGTCCGTCACCTTCGCCGAGCTCAGGTTTTTTTTGTCCTTTCTTTGATTCCCGCCTCTCAAATTGGGAGGCCCCGCCCCCTCGGGGCCGCTTACGTCACTCTCCCCTCCCCCCGCTAGGCTGGGAATCCCGCGCTGGAGCCTGCTCTGCAGGCCTCCCCCTTCCTCCCCGCCCCCCCCCCCCCCCAGGGGGCAGGAACAGCGAGCTGGGGCCCTCGCAGCTTCCATCAGTTGTGCTTCCCCAGGAGGAGGCACTCCCGGGCACCCTGAGCCCTGAGCCCGGACTGCCTCTGCAGACGCAGCTAAGCCACCCTTGCGCCTGCTAGGAAGCCTCTCCCCTCCGTCCAGAAGGGTGGTCCGAGAGAGGGAGATTGAGGGATTTGCGGATGACTTCGTGATTGAAAACAACGGCAGGATTTGGGATCGGAATAGTAGAGTTAAAATCGTTTCTATGCTGTTTTTTACTAGCAGTGCGCCCCCGTGCAAATGCTCGGACTTCACCGTCCCTTGGGATAATCCTCATTTTTTTTTTTTTTTTTCCCCCTAATGACGGGTAGGAACGTCCCTCGCGGCTGGGAAGCCTAATTGAGCTGGGAGAAAGAAGCACTCAGAACAGAAAGGGCACAGCTGTCACTCACGTATTCCTTTTCTTCCTTCTCCAGATTGTCTGGATCACGCCTCTCGCCGTCTAACTCTGGAAATATCGGATATGGGGTAGGTAGGTGACTCAGTGTTAACCTTAAGACTCAAACTGTGCCGAGTCCATCTCAGCTGGAAAAGGCGCAGGACAGACCGACTCTGTTCTGCGTTCAGTTCCCTAAGCAGAACCACAGTCCCTGACACATCCATCGCAGGCCCTGGGAAATGCTGGTCGAGTTCACGAATGGGTCTGGTGCAGAGAGGATAGATCGCAGGAAAGTCTTTTAAGGGGGCGACCAGTTGTTTTCAAAGAAAACATCGTCATCAGGTTGACCGAAGCTGACATCATAGTCAGGGGGAGGAGTCAGGGGCTCCAATTTGGGGGGCAACCCCAAGCTCTGCAGATCAGGGACAGTGGACGTGACCCGGGGTCCCCGAAGCCGAAGGCTGACTGGAACTCTTCCAGAGTTTTGTGGGGTCATAGATCCCTCTGAGCCCACTCGCCTTTCCAGTCTGGCTCTATCGGGCCCCTCTGGATGGCTAGGCTGTCCTTCCTCAAGTCCTGGGGGGATGACAACACTGCTGTAGGGCGGTGGTTGATCGGACTGCTGGGGGCGGCATTGTGATTCCACCACAGCCTCTTCATAGGTTGGCACCTCAAAGGCTTCATTGTCACTGAGGGAGAAGAAATAAGGTCACTGGGGGCCTCCTGAAAGGAGTCTGTTTTCGCTTTACTGTCTTCTATTAGCAAAAGACCCACCAACCCCTGACCCCACCCATCCCCTCACTGATAACCAGTAACAGGAAAGCAGAGCTGTACACCTGAGAGACTAGCAGACACGGGGAAAAAGGGTCCATTGTGCATTCCTAGGATTCAGCCCACCCCTTAACTCACCGTGCATTGCCTGAGGCCCCTGTGCTCTCCGTCTGCCTTGATCGGTACCCCCATTCCAGAGAACAGGCCAGGAGGCAGACAAGGAAGAAGACACCACCCAAGGTGAGAAAGAAATAAGCAACAGGGGCGATGTCTGGCTTTATGCCCAGTAAAGCCAGCCCCAGGAGGAAGGAGGCACAGCACAGGAAGAGAAGCGGCTTCTCCAGTCTCCCCCACAACTGGCTTGGCACCATGGCCCCTCCCCAGGCTCCTGCAAAAAGACAGATGTTGTGTCTCAACCCGCAGTTGGCATCCCAGTGGGGTCAGATTCCAAAGTAAACATCTTAGACACCTTAGGGTTTTAGGTTCTTCAATCTCAGATCAAGTAGATAGCTCAAATACATGATCTTCAGGGTTCCCTTCAGCTTTGTGATTCTCTCTAGGATCACACCGTTGTCTCAGGGTATCAGTATGTGTGGGCTAGCCAGGAAATAAGCCAAGGTGCCTTCATGTGACTTACTGTGTCGTGGCCCTGCTTTCCTTCCTTCTTCCTTCTCTGCAATCTCCCTTCCAGCTCTATCTTTCTACACCATCCAAGACCCAGTCCCGGCTGGCCCTGCCTGGAGCCTGAGTGCTCAGCAGCATCTGTGGAATCCAGGTGATGAGGCAGGCCCTACCTTTTCTCTGTAATTGCTCAGTACTGGATCTCCACCCTAACCCCACCCCCATCTCCCCAGTCAGACCCCACTGGGGAGGGAGGTTGGGGAGGAGCACCACTTACCCTGGTCCAACCCCATCTTCCCATTTCCTCTACTCAGCCCATGCTCTGGTTGTGGGAGAAAGTACACAGGGATGCAGCAAAGCCACAGGGACACAACTATGTGAGAGAATCTTACAAAGGCCTAGGGCAATGGGCAGAGGCCTAGATAACTCCTGATCCCTCCATATCTGCCAAGGTATCCCATCTTCTACCGGCCTTAACTCAGTATGCTCAGATTTTAAGTTTCCTGTCTGTAGTTACCGCAAAGGCTGGGAGGCTCCTGGGGAGAAGCCTTCTTTTCCCTCCGGAACACAGCAGCAACGTCTAGGCAGCAGCGCCCCCAAAACAACCTATCAGGAATTTCCTGAACTCTGCATAGCAAGAAAGCACAGACTCTAGATAGGGGCCAGACTCCCCCTGCTTGAACCTTAACCCCAATCCCATGGCCTTCCCACTGTTCTCACCGGCGTTAGGAATTCCTCCCTCACCTGTCTGGACCGACTCCACAGCAAGTAGGTTGTACGGGAGCCTAGGGGAGCCGGAGGAAGAGGGGGTGGAGCCACTGGGCTCCACCCACTTTTCTGTTCCAATCCCTCAATTCCTGCGTAGGCTTCCTCCTCCCCTTTCTGGTTACAGCCGACCTGCTATTGCCCCACCTTGATTTTTTTTATTTTTACACTACTCACCCCCTACAGTGCTTTAATGAGAGTGCTCCTGCACCCCCTCCCCACCCCAGTGATCTTTGTACTTAGGATCAGAGTTATATTCAGTTTCCTCATCTCTCCTCAATGTGCACTGTATTCCGAGTAGTTTGTCTTCTATTTAGGTAATATATTTTAGGCCTGGAGCAGAGGCCATGGCTTATTTAATCTCTAGATCACGTAGTGCTTTGCATGGTTTGCTGTGGGCATGGAATGGAGTGTCTTGCTTCAGCTGCCAAAGGACCATTTCTTTGAATTTGTTTTCTGCAGGGGCTTAAGTCATTTTTGCGTATGCTTCTTGGCCCAGTTAACTCTTGGTCTTCAAAAGCCACGTCCAATGATGGACGTGATGCCTGCTGTGGAGGCTGTCTGCCCAGTGTAGCTACGGCATTCATTGCTACCTCTGTTCAAGCCTTTAGCTGCTTATATAGTAATTTTCTGTTTACATTCCTTTCCTCCACTGTGAGCTTTTCAAAGTGAGTGATCAGTTTCAATAATTTCTGAATTCCTGCAGCTGACATGGTTCCTGACACAAAGTACGTGCTCACTCAACGCATCAGAAGGCTATCATTCTGCCTTGGTTTCACCACACCCTGGAGACCCAGGATCCACTGTTTTAAGGGGAATCTTGGTAATAAGTCTAGGTGAGGCAGGTACTGGGAGGTTTAGAGAGGTTGGAGGCATACTTTATTCTTGAGACACAGAAGGACACAAGGCTGGATTCCAAGGCTTCAGAGTGTTACGATTAGCCACACCAAGGGGAGTAGGAGATGATGGGGTACAAATCTAATTCCAAGGACAGTCATGGGGCACAGCCAGGGCTGCAGGATCAGAGGATGTGTGTAGTGTGTGACTGTGTGTGTGAGAGAGAGACAGAGTGGGAGAGAGAGGAGAGAAGGAGGAGGGAGGGAAAGAAGGATGAGGATGAGGATGAGGGTGCCTGGAGTGGAATGCAGGTGAGTATACAGTGGGATGTCTATGATGATTCTCTGACCAGATGGAGGAGATGTTAACAGGAAGACTGTGCTAGTCCAAATGAGCTGTGTCTCTATGGGAAGTGGGAATGGAGAGTGGGGGGAAAGCTGGTTGTTGATTTGTTTACACCAATTTCCATACTGTTCATCTCATAAAAGGAAAGTATGACTTGGATCAGAAGGATTTGCATCTGGGGTGCCTGGTTGGTTTAGTTGGTAGAGTGTATGACACTTGATCTCGGGGTCATGAGTTTGGGCCCCTTGTTTGGTGTAGAGATTACTTAAAATCTTTTTAAAAAGAAGATGTAACTGCATCTACAGTTAATATATTAATAGAAGGAAATTGCAAGTTAGTTCTGGATAGGGAGATGGGGCAGGGGATGTAGGCTGAGAGGCAAGGGAGTCAAAGAAGGGGGCTGAATGTCTATTGTGTGAAAGACACTGCAGTTGGGAGAATGAGATCTCTGTAGCATAAGATTCTTGGTTGCCAGAAGGAACCTACACTAGAGAGACTTGCTAGTTAAGAACCCGTTCCAAGTCAGGAAGGCTGGACTGCTGGCTGGCTGTGCTGTCAATATATTCTCTATCAACAATAATTTTAAATGGATTTTCTAAAAATTCCATTTTTTAAAAAACTGTTACTCTTTGAGAAGGATTGAGTGAGTGACTGTGGGAAGGGGCAGAGGGAGGGGGAGAGAGAATCTTCAAGCAGACTCCCTGCTGAGCTTGGAGCCTAATGCAGAGGCTTGATCCTCGACCCTGAGATCAGGACCTAAGCTGAAATCAAGAGTAGGCTACTCAACCCACTGAACCACCCAGGCATCCCTAAGAAATTCCATTTGTTAAATATAGAATCTTGCAAAGTATTTAAAGATTATAAAGAAAAAAAGTCATCCACAATCTTATTATCCTAACATGGCCACTTAAAATTTCTGCGCATTTCTTGTAATATGTCCCCCCACTGATGGAAGTGCTCTCTGGTTGAAATCAGAGTATATATGCTATTTTGTATTTTTAAAAGATTTTAAACATTGTATCACATATAATACACATTTTGGTACAGTCTCTGTTGTGGTAATTTTTAACAGCCACAGAAATACCTTTTTGAATGGATGTATCATAGTTTAACATACTGCTATGTTACTTGGTAGCATTGAATTTATTTTTTCTTTCTTTTTTTTTTGGTCATCAAATGTTTCAAGAGACAGAAAGTAGATTAATGGTTGCCAGGGGCTGGAGAGAGGGAGGCACAGGGAGCAACTGTTAATGGATTTTTTTGGGGGGGTAATGAAGATGTTTAAAAATCAGTAGGGGGTGGCTGGATAGTTCAATCAGTTAAGTGTTGGACTCTTGATTTCAGCTCAGGTCATGATCTCGGAGTCGTGGGATCGAGCCCTGCATCAGGCTCCATATGTAGTCTGCTTGGGATTCTCTTTCTCCCTCTCTCTGCCTCTCCCCCCCAAATCAGTCAGTCTTTGCAACAAATTAGTAGTGATGCTTGCACAACTCTGTGAGTATGCTAAAAAGGACCCACCGAATTTTTCACTTTAAAAGGGTGAATTTATGCCTCCATAACACTGTTTAAAAAATGATGCTACAATGAACCTCTTCTTATGTGTAGTTTTTCCTTCTATTTGGATTATTTCCTCCAGTTGACTTCTAAGAAATGTCATCATTGAGACAAGAAATGTGAAGAAAGCTCCTATTTCTCTGAATACTTGTGGCCACACTTCCCAAAGGTTTTGCTTTCCTTTTTTCTTCATCAACTTAGTATCCTTAGCAAAATATGAATGCTAAAGGTACTATTTGTCATTCTGCTTTCTCCTTGCCTGCCTCTACAAACCACTCCGTTAGAGGTGAGATTACTGCCCTAGGCCAGCCCACTATGCCCATCTCATTTTGGGAAGTGACAGTGAAGGGAAGTGGAAGGTGGGGGGCAGGGTGGGAGGGAGAAGTAGAGATCTTTGACTTCCTGTGAAGGGTCGCTCAATTAACACACACGTCTCTGTTTCTCCATATTCTTGTGATTTCGTGTTTCTGAACTGAGTCTGTAGCCAGCATGTGTGGAGTGATTTGTACTGCTCACTGTGCTAAATGCTTTACACAAACAGTAATTTAAAATGTCATAAGAGGGCAGCCCCGGTGGCTCAGCAGTTTAGCGCCGCCTTCAGCCCAGGGCATGATCCTGGAGACCCGGGATCCAGTCACATGTCAGGCTCCCTGCATGGAGCCTGCTTCTCCCTCTGCCTGTGTCTCTGCCTCTCTCTCTCTCTCTCTCTCTCTCTCTCTCTCTCTCTCTTTGAGTCTCTCATGAATAAATAAAATCTTTTAAAAAATGTAATGAGTAATTGCTATTATTATATTTATTTCCTAGGTAAGGTGAAAAACTTGAGGAAAAAGTAGTCAAAGGTGGGACCAAGATTTGAACCTGTAGTTCCAGTCCAGAAACCTGGCTCTTAAACACTATGCCATCCAACTCTAAGCACTCTTTTTTGGCTGCTTTCATAATGGTAATTTAACAAAACACCTATGACATTCTCAGATCATTACTCTGGGTCTTCCCTGGAGGAGTGGTTAGGTGCTATTTTCTCCACTATTTGGCATCTTAAGAATGAGGCTAGCTTTCAGACAGCAAAGGCAGCTAAAGAGATTATCAGATTAAATAAGGTTATCAATATATAAGACAAGAAAGAGAAATTAGGATTGCAGGCTCTGTATCAGGATATTTATCTTTTATGAGCTAATTGAGACTGATTACAAATGTGAGACTTTTTCTTGAATAGCTCCAGAAGCCCAATGTGCTGGTGACTTGTTAAAAAAAAGGGGGTGTAGGTGGGAAGGGAATACACATGTGTGTTTGTGTGTGTAGAAATGATTTGGCCGTATCTGATTTAATCCTTAATAACAATCATGTGGGATAAGTCTGGTTATTTTTCTTTTTTTAAAAAAATTCTTATTTTATTTAATGGTTTATAATCTGTTGCTATCATTCTTTATTGTCCCAGATGTGAACAGTGGGAGTCACTTCAAGTTGGCTCCTGTGCATTTTTTTAAAAGATTTTTATTTATTTATTCATGAGAGATACACAGAGAGAGGCAGAGACACAGGCAGAGGGAGAAGCAGGCTCATGCAGGACTCGATACCAGGACCCTGGGATCATGACCTGAGTTTGAAGGCAGACTCTCAACCACTGAGCCACCCACGTGCCCCTGGTTATCATTTTTCATGTTACAGAAGAAACCAGCTCAGAAAGTACATGATTTGTTTCATTAGAGTCAAATTCAGAATCTTGCCCTTTTAACTCAGTTGAGAATGTTTCTCTTTGGGTTTGTTGCCTTACCCACAAACTCTTTCAAGCATGTATGGAAGGTAGATAAATGATTTAATAACATGAGGTATATCAGAAATATCATTGATATTTCTGGGATGGAAATGCTTCCAATAAATGATGAATTCTCAAGTATGTAAGAATAAATGCACATTTTCACTCTCATCAACTAGTTGTAATACTGCACCAAGCTCACTGGGAATGAACCAAGTGAATATGAGGTGCAGGCTGGCCCTCCAGCTCAGCTATTCAGCACTAAGCTACAAAAAGCAATGTTCATATATGAGAAGTTGAGTGTGGTTGTTGCCCAGGGACAAAAAAGCATTGTGTTTATGAGCTGTCTACAGATAGCGGCAAAGGAGTCCCACATGAGTGTCCCTAAATAAAAGAAGACAGAGAGGCACTTGTGGTTGTGATTAAGCACATATTTTTAGAGATGTACAGACCAGGTTTTAAAATTTTTTTTTTAATTTTTATTTATTTATGATAGTCACACACTCACAGAGAGAGAGAGAGAGAGGCAGAGACACAGGCAGAGGGAGAAGCAGGCTCCATGCACCGGGAACCCGACGTGGATTCGATCCCGGGTCTCCAGGATTGCGCCCTGGGCCAAAGGCAGGCGCTAAACTGCTGCGCCACCCAGGGATCCCCAGACCAGGTTTTAAATCTCATTCCTACCACTTACTGTGTGACCTTCTGTGAGCTATTCCACCTTTCTGCATGCGTGAAAGTAACTAGAATTAAATATCAGTTAACTTTTTCTCTTTTGAAATAAAATTTGTCTACAGTGAAGTGCAGAGATTTTCAGTAGACCGTTCCATAAGTTTCATGAAGACTTGCACTTGTGTAACTCAAAGTCTAGTCAAAATACAAAGCATTACTATCATCCAGAAAGTTCCCTCATGCCGTCTCCCTGTCAACCCAAATAGGCAACAATTGTTTTGGTTTCTTTCCATCTTTTATACTCTTGAAAATGGTTTCTATTTTCTGGAACAACGATTAATTTATTTAATGGTAACAATAACCATTTAGTTATCCAACTGATAACCATTTAGTTTCCAGGATTTTGCAATTCCTACATTTTTTTAAAAAGGATTTTGTTTATTTATTTGACAGAGCGCACATGCACAGACAGGGGGAGTAGCAGGTAGAAGGAGAGGGAGAAGCCGCCTCCCCACTGAGCGGGGAGCCCAATGCGGGACTCCATCCCAGGGTCTCAGGATCACAACCTGTGCCAAAGGCAGACACTTAACAGACTGAGTCACCCAGGCACCCTACAATTCTTACATCTCTGTGCATGTTTTTGCTCATATGTATAAATTAGAAAAATTCCTGAAAGTGAAGTTTTTGATGGATATTGCCATTTGCTCTCAAAAGGAGTTATAAAAATTCACTCTAATGCTCACATTGCAAGAATATCTCTTTGTCCACACCCTGATCAACAGTGAGTTATCAAACTTGGATTTGATAAATTGTTACTGTTCACTTGCTACACAGAACACTCCAAGGTATATTCAGTAGATCTGATAGGAATTTTACCCTCAGAGAGTTTACTGTTTATAAGAGGAAAGGCGTGTACATAATTAATTGTAAGACAGGGTACAAAGTGACAAGGAACAAAGTGCTGCTGGGATTCCCAGGAGAGACGTGGTGCTCCAAGGGGTGGGGATCAGAGGGCATCATGGATAGGGATGGGATTTGTTTATACTCCTTTTACATCTATCTCCTCATTATGCATGGAAGAGATAATACTTACATCATTGATTGGTAATTAGTGAATATTTGCTGATGTAATGATTCATGATCTTCTGATCCGTTGATCCTCCCTCAATTACCTCTCCACCTTTCCCAGTCTTTTTGGTCTGGCATCAGCTGGAGCCAGCCATACCCTTGAACATAGGCTTGGCTGACAGACGAGGGAGTTGGTCTGATCCAAGCCAAGGGTTTCAGTTTTCCCTGGTCCCCTGTGGAGACGTTGAAGGTACTCTCTGGGATTAAGGCCTTGGGATGAGTGAGGAACAATGGTCTAGTTGGCCGCCCAGCCGCCAATCCCCTTTCCCTGGCGTCCAAGCGGCTACTTCTTCCTGCTTTTACTTTTGCTTATTCCCCGGGAATCATAGTCAGATGAAGGACTATAATTCCTCTGAGGAGAACGATGAATGGTGGGCCCTAAGTTCATCTTACAGCTGGATTCCTGCTTTCTTTGTACACCTCCCCAGCGGCATCCTTTCCTCCAGTCCCCATTCAGCTTTTCTATTTATAGACTTCCTGCATCTCCCCTTGAACTTCTTATCTCCTCCTTTTGCCACCCACATTGCCTTTTTCCCTTCTCTCACTCACCTTGTGCTCTTTTCTTTGGCCCATTTATTTGATAAGCATTTACTTAGCATGTATAATGTTCTTACAGGAGCAGCTACAGTACATAATTTGTGAGGTCCCATGCAAAATGAAAATGCAGGGCCTCCTAATTGAAATTAAGAAGAATTTCAAGACAAAGTAGAGCATCAAACCAGTCATGAGGCCCTGTATCAGTACACAGGTTGCCAAGTCTATGAGGCTGACTTTATGTGCACAGTACTGTGGGGACATGGTGAGAATGTATAATATCACAGAATTAAAATCTCAGCACATTTTTTAAAAAGTAATCTCTACGTCCAACGTGGAGCTCAAACTCCTGACCCTGAAATCAAGAGTTGTATGCTGTACCAACTGAGCCCCCAGTTACCCTCCTCAGGACATTTTCAAGACATTTTTATTATGGAAATATCCCAACACATGTAAAAGAGGAAAGGACAGTATAACAAGCTCTTTGTGTACTCATCACTCAGCTTCAACTATTATGTTTTATCTACTCTTTCCACCTTCCCTGCTTTTTAAAAGGCAGCATGTCACTTCTACCCTAAATGTTTCAGAATGCAGTTCTGACTGATGAGAATTTATCTGTACACAGCCACCCTGCCATTATCACACTTAATGAAATTAATATTAATTCCTTGGGATCACCTAATATTCAATCCATGTTATCTTCCCCCAGTTGTCTCAAAATGTGTTCTTCCAGTTTGTACATTCTTTTAAAATATACTATTAAGGGGGCACCTGGATGACTCAGTCAATAGAGCATGTGATTCTCAGGGTCATTGAGTTTGGGCCCCACATTGGGCATGGAGCCTACTTGAAAAACAAAAAAGGAGTGCCTGTGTGGCTCAGTTGGTTAAGCGTCTGACTCTTGATCTCTGCTCAGGTCTTGATCTCAGGGTCCTGAGTTTGAGCTCTGCATTGGGATCCACGCTGGGTGCGGATCCTACTTATAAACAATTAAAGACAAATTTAATTAATTGTTTATGGACAATATGGACATTTCAAAAACAGTCTAGTTAGGAAATGGGCAAAAGGCATGAACAGATATTTCCTTGAAGAGGATGTACAGATGGCAAAGAAGCACACAAAAAGCTGTTCATTAGCCCTTAGGGAAATGCAAATTAAAATCACGATGAGATGGCACTACACACCTATCAGAATGGCTAAAATTAAAAAAAAAAAAAAGAGGCATAACACCAAATGCTGGTGAGGAGGCAGAAAAACTGGATTGCTCATGCACTTCTGGTGGGAAGGTTAAGATGGTTTGGCCACTCAGGAAAACCGTACTGGTTTTCTAATACAACTAAACATCCACTTGCCACATGATCCAGCAGTTGTACTCCTGGACATTTACCTCCCAAAATGAAAATTTGTATGTATCCGAAAACGTGTACAAGAATATTCACAGCAGGTTTGTTTGTAATAGCCCCAAACTGGAAACAACCTAAGTGTCCTTCAACAGGTTAAACAAACCATGGCATATCCCTACCATGGAATACTACTCAGTAATAAAAAGGACAAACCACTGAGACACACAACACCTTGTGAGGGTCTCAAGGGAATTTGCTGAGTGAAAATAAATCTGATTCCACTTAGATAGCACTCTTGAAATGACAAAACGATATGAAGAACAGATAAGTCATTGCCAGGACTTAGGGAAGTGGGGAGGGCAGAAGATGGCTGAAACAGAACACGAGGACCCCTTATGCTAGAAATGTTTTGTATCTTGACTGATGGTGGCCACACATACAGTTCAATTGTTTAGAACTAAATACACACAAATGAGTGCATGAAAAACCAGTGGAATCTGAATAGGGTTGATGGACTGCATCAACTTCAATTCCCTGCTTGTGTCATAGTGCTGTAGTTATGCAATATGTTACCATTGGGGAAACTGGATGCAGGGTATATGGAGTCCCTCTGAATTCTGACATTCATGGGTTAAAAAATATGGACTTTTCTGGTTGCACACACAAAAAACCAGAGAGTAGGCATGGGAATGACAAAGGGGAGACTTTTCACTTGACAGTTTGCTGTTTTTTTTTTTTTGTTGTTGTTGTTGTTTTACCACATTTCCTGTGATGCTTTTTTGTTGTTAATTAGTACTCATGTTTTAGGTCTGTAAAAAAATATAATTCTAGAAATTTTACCTAAGAAGTTTGTTTTAGAAGCATGTTATTTGGTAAACTTGGAATTTGAATTATAGTGCAAGAAATAAACCAATTTCTTTCTGGAACTGAACTACGAGTATTGACATAACTGCAAATTTTTCATTACATTGCAACTGTTGAGCAGAAGGGGAGGAGAGGGAGAAATTAATAAATGTGAAACACTTTGGGTTAGAAGAAGTGTTTATTTAAAAAACACAGCTGCATTTGGGGACTTCCCCCTTTCTTATTATGATGGTTAATTTCATGTCAACTTGACTGAGCTAAGGGACACCCAGAGAGCTGACAAAACATTTCTGGGTGTGTCTGTGCGGGTGGTTTCCAGAAGAGTAAAGAAGGTGGCCCTCACTAGTGTGGGAGGACATCATCCAATCTATGAGGGCCTGAATGGAACCAAAGAAGTGAAGGAAGGGCAAACTTGGCTCTCTCTGCTTGAACTGAGACATCCATGTTCTGTTGCCCTCAGACACAGGTACTCCTGGTCCTCAGACTTTTGGATTCTGGGTTGGAACTGCACCACTAGCCCACTTTCCTGGGCCTCCAGTTTGCAGACGGCAGAATGTGGGACTTCTCCACCTCCATAATCATGTGAGCTAATCCCTGATAATAGATCTCTTTTTGTATATATCTGTAAATACACTCTTGTTTGTTTCTTTGGAGAACCTTGACTATTGGATTCTCTTTGGAAGAAGTTTAGACATCATAATCTAGATCGTGTTTGTAAGGTTTAGTCTAGAAATTGTCTCACTCCTCCAGAATTAAATTTGTCATCAGATTAGGAAAGGAGGATGTTAGACTCTTTGACGGAAGACTGGGCAGAGCTAGGAAAGAGACATCTACAATACAACATTATGTCACATTAGTGTGGCATAGGATTTAGGATTAAGGTAAGCAGCCAATAATGTTTCAAAAACAATGGGAAGGGGATGCCCGGGTGGCTCAGGGGTTGAGTATCCGCCTTTGGCTCAGGGTGTGATCACGAGGTCCCGAGATTGAGTCCCGCGTTGGGCTCCCTGCATGGAATCTGCTTCTCCCTCTGCCTGTGTCTCTGTCTCTCTGTCCGAGTGTTTCATGGATAAACAAAAATAATAAAAAGCTCTTAAAAAAATGGGAAGGATGCACAATTGTGCCCTAATATGAATCTACAAATTGTTTTATCATTTAAATAATTTTTTTTGTCAGAATAAATGCTCATTTCAAAAGTACACAAGGGAAATGGAAACATCTTGGCATATTTTATTCCAGGATTAATATATTAATGTCCACTGTAATGAGTTTTTATACATCAAGATATAAATGAGATTGTACTATATATAGTTTCATCTTTTTTCCGACTAATATTATTATATCTTAAGCATTTCTGCCTGGGTGGTACAGTCGGTTGAGGGTCTGACTCTTGGTTTCGGTTTGGTTCATGATCTCAGGGTCATGAGATCAATCAAGCCCCTTGTGTTGGGCTCCCCACTTGGTGAGGATTCTGCTCGGTGAGGATTCTTTCTCTGCCTCTCTTGCTTGTGCTTTCTCTCTCTAATAAATAAATAAGTAAATCTTTTATATATATAGATAATTTTTCTATTATATTACTATACATATATAAACATTTTGATGGCTATGAAACATTACATCCTGGATGTACCATAACTTATTCAAATATCCTCCTATTGTTACATACGTAAGTTAGATGATATCGCAAATAATACTGAGAAGGCATCTTTATTCATAAAACTTTGCCTTCACCACCGTGCTCTCAGCATATATGAGAATTTCTATATGCTTGAATATATAACTTGAATATATGAGAAGTAACATTTTAATTTGCTCTTATGTAAACTATTAGACACATTCCCATATATATTTAAAAATATTTTATTTATTTATTCATGAGAGATACAGAGAAAGGTAGAGACATAGGCAGAGACAGAAGCATGTTTCCTGTGGGGAGCCTGACGTGAGACTCGATTCCAGGACCCCAGGTTCACGACCTGAGCCAAAGGCAGACATTCAACCACTGAGCCAGCCAGGTGCCCCCCATTTTCCTGTATTTTAAATTCAGATTCGCTACACATCATGAAATCTTCTTTGAAAGAGGGAGTATTTGGTTATGTACTTCTGGCATTAGTTAGCAGATAAGCCTAGTAGGGATGACTGGGAACCCTGCAGTATGCTGGAATGATGGGTGGGGAGAGGAGGAAAACAGCGAGTGATGGAGGGGAAATGGGGGAAAAGAGCTGAGATCAGAAAGAGCTGGGGCGGGGAGGCGGGGGAGGGCCTCAAGGAATCCTCTTTGAACACCTCTGGAGCCACTGAGCCATCAACGGATACACAACTGCTTCCCAACAGATGTCAAAGTGTGGTTTCTGTTTCTGGACAAAGAGTATCCTCAAAGAAGTCCAAAGACTACTAAGACACAAGTTCTCTGATTATTGCACAGCTGGCACATACACAGTAGGGCCTTTAGATAAGTAATTGCAGGAGTGGGAAAGCTGTAGGTTTGTGTGGAAAGGAACAGGGGTTATACTAGGCTGGAGAGAGAGGCCCTGGGTTTTTTTTTTTTTTTTTTTTTTTTTTTCAGGATCTGCTTTGTAATTAAAAGGAGAGAATCATGCAGATGAGCAACTTCCGAGCCCTTGGCAACTCTAGCCTGTCTCCCTTTGTTGCCACCTTGCCCTGGTTCTGCTAGTCAGTATAGCTGGAGGTGGTTCAAATATCTGGGCAGAACCTCAGCCAAGCTCTGGCTACCTTTGATCCCAGCCCCATATCAGTAACCATGGCTGAGGTGCCAAACTGGTTAGTTGCAAAATCCATCTGATTCAGTTTTCCGTCCCTGAAGAGGGGTTCTTTCCTGCTCCCTCCATAAAGCTGCCCTGAAGTGGGCAGCGTAGCACGTGGTATGGAAGGAGGTATTTGCAAACAACCTAGAGTAGACAGGTGACTGCAGAGATAGCACACAAACACCAGGGAGGACACAGGCCCAGAAATATTTATTCTGAGGAAGAGCAGAATTTGGGGCACCAGGAAGCCCCCTACATGGCATCTCTTGGGGCCACAGAGGATCCTCTATCAGAGAAATCAGGCCCCAAGAGATGTGTCACACGGTGGAAGAAGGGTAAGCAGATGGTCTGCTTTCATCCCTATAGGCTTCCCCTGGCTATCCTTAAAGTTTGGGATTTATAGCTGGAGGCACCGGGCCCATCCACTTCTCTCCTAGATGGAAAAAATTACATGTCAGAGGCTGACCCCACAAGCCCCCAGGGGTTTTCTAGGAAGAGCTCTGCTTGGTTCCCTTCTTTTCTATGGGGGTGAAACTGGCCTCTCCCCATTCAGCCCCCAGGAACCTCTGTGTATGAGGCTCCATTACTGGAAATGCATAGAACATGTTTTGTTCTGGATCTGTCCTTCGGTCAACTGATAAATGGGGATGGGGCTAGGGTCAAGGGCAGCTCACCATGAACCTGTGGCTTACCCAGCAGGTGTGCCAGCAACTCCATCCGATCAGAGCCAAATAGCATGTGGGTTTGGCCATCCAGATGGGCCACAGTGACTGGCAGCCCAAAGGCCTGGAGAAAGCAGTTAGAATGTAGGGAGTAAGGTGATAGAGCAGTTATTTATTAGTCTGGGACTGAAGGCTAAGAGTCAATACTTGTCTGAGGTCATAGAAGCAGAGCAGCCTAAGAGAGGGGTCTGCTAAGAGGCTCCACAGCTCTAGGGAGTTTTCTAACTCTCAAATACGTGTCTTTCCTTTTAACCATCTGGCTCCCTTTTTCCTTTCCTTGGACTCTGGGATAGGAAGGGAGAGGATGAGGGTTGTCTGGGACAACTGGGAGGACTCATATTGGGAGCAACATTTAGAACAGGAGCATGGGGACCCAGTAGATTCTCAGCCTGTCTTCAGCAGTGGGGTTGGAGACCCACAGCAAGAGTTGCTTACCCCATATTTGCAGGCTGCCTCAGTGTTCTCCTTGAGCTTGTTTTTCACCTTTGGTGTTACAATCTTTTCCAGAAGTCCCTGGGCTTGTTCTGTAGACATGCCAGCCTTCTCTGCAGCCTGAGGGGGGATACGGAAGGGAACACAGCTTTGTCTGCTTTAGTGGGGGTAGGGATCTCAGGAGAAACTCTAGTCTTTCTTCTCTGCTCCCATTTTCCTAGTAAGGCCTTAACCCACCCACAAAGGTCTATCTTTGCTAAGAAGGGCTGTTTTTTTTCCCCCTTCAAAAATCTTGTGATTGGTGGAAAGAACAAGTGCAAAACTTTAAAGCCAGTAGGCATCTTAGAAACCAGCTTTCCCACCTTTTTATTAACTAGGAAGGGGACTGCTGTCCATGACTTGGTTAGCATCATAGAACTCATTAGTGGCAGAGCCAATGTTAGAATCCAAGTCCCCTGACATTAAGTCTGGGCTCTTGCCTTTCTACTTCTCAGAGTTCCTGAGTATCTTGTGCTCTTTTGAATCAAGGGCTGGGCTATAGTTCTCGTATCATTTCCTGAGGACTTTTGAGCAGGGCACAGGATATATAGCTAGCTGCCTGTGGGGCCTCACAAGAATAAAAGTTTCAGTTTGGGGTGTGTTGGTATCATTTGGGACTAGTGGTTCTCAATTTTGGCTGAATACTAGAATCTCCTGAGGGAGCTTTAAAAATTCCACTCACAGGTCATCCCCTGGAACAATTACGACAGAATTTTTGACAGGCAGTGCCCAGGTGTTCCAGGTGATAAAATATACAGCCAAGGTTGAGAACCAGTGCAACTTGACCTCAAGCTGGAGAGGCAAACATGAAGTCATGCAGAGCATTCTGTTGTGTCTTTGACTTGGCTTCATGAGAGAGAATTGTGTCCTAGACCAAATGTTCAACGGAGGATCAGTTAGGTAAACAAAAGTAGGCCCACTGAGAATGGTACTTTCAAAGAGTTTACAACTGTATGGAAAATGATTGTTAGTTAATAAGTGCAAAGGCAAGCCTATGCAAATACTTTGCAGGAATAAAAACACTGGAGGAACGTATTGGTCATTCTTTGTGATCTGCTATCTTATGTATTAAATTTGAATATGCCTCAACTATCTTTTGTAAACTGGAGGGAAAATATTGTTTTGAATTTCCTGATTTAACCCCAAGAAAAATTTACTTTTTATTCCTTTATCTACGGTTGGCACACATTTCAATGTTTTGAGCTTTTTCATTTGTTTCCACTCTGGCTTCTGTATCATTCTGGCTTGAGTTATCTCTCTCTCTCTCTCTCTCTCTTTTTTTTCTTTTTAAAGCTTGTCTGTAAAGTCTCCTGCTTTCTACTCTGGATATATCGGTGAGGTCTGTGATTGGGGCCACTGCTTCATCCTTCCCCATCTGGGGGTGCCAACATTTAACATTTCTCTCCCACTGACTTCTTTCATGAAATAAAATCTACCCATGTAGAGTTCTGCACTTCCCTTTCAACCACAAGATAATCTTTGAAAGTCCTCTGAGTTCCAACCTTTCAGTAATTTGGCCCCTCAAACACAGCATCCTTTCTTCCCAAATAACTATCACCTCTTCCACCTAATATGAAAACTGTGTCTTCTCTGCTCCTGAACACCAGCTGTTCTCAGCTTCCCTATGAGAGGACCGGGGACAGAGCCAGGACACTCACGGCTAAGATGCTCTGAGGTTCTGTGATGTCTTCATCCTGAGAAGAAGAGAACACTCAGTAGGAAAGGGGTGATGAGGTGTGAGATGGGGGAGGGAGGATGGTAGGGCAGTGAACAACAGGGGAAGGTAGGACCAAGACTCTGGAAACTGGGTTGTAGGGGATGGTCCTCCCATTATCCAGGGTCTCCCAAGTAGTTCCCAGAGCTATGTCCTTACCCGTGACCAGACACGCATCCATAGTTCCCTGGACACTTTCTCTAACATCTCTGGGTGTTCCATGTTCACAGCAGTGAGGAATCTCATGGCTGATAAACTTCCTGTGGGGCAGAGGTACTCAGAGGCAGTGCTTTTCTAGTTTGTCTCCAACGGAGGACTGGCTCTTTCCTGCTTCTGACTTCCCCCGAGCTCAACTGCCCTCAGTCTCCTACCTACATTTTCTCATAGCCGGTTTGTCCTGCTCTTTGTCCCCTTAGGTCCCCACAAGCTTCTGCTCACTCAATGCTGACCTGTGTTTTCCCAACCTTTGTTTCATTTCATGGAACTAGTTGCCAGTCCCAACTTCCTGGCACTATGATTTGCAGCTTTGCTGCCTTCCACTTAATAACCCCATCTGTATCTCACTCTTTACCTTTTTCAAGGATCACAGAGAAGAAATCCTTGGGGAACTGCATGGGAACCTGGACATGCTGTCCTAGGAGTCTAATGTCATTTCTCAGGTATTGGGCTTTGCGGGGAAGTAGAGCTGGTGGCTGGTTTCCTGCAAGTGGAAATTTGGGCACACTCGTGAAAGACTACTGAAGAGTCCCAGGCTTGAGGTGACCCTTACCCGGTTTTCAGGAGAGTGCAAATTACTAGTTGTCCATGCCAACATAAAGACCCAGTTGGGAGCAGCCACCCCCCAACCCCCCGCCCTCCCTCCCTCAAATCCCTGTCCCAACTGCCGCTGCCTTCACACCGCTGTCTTTCATGATCCCTGCAATGAGGCTGGGGCGCAACTGCAGGTTGATGTTCCAGATGTTCTTGTACCGGCACAGGACCTGCAGGAGCAGAGGTAGAGGTGGGGAACCAGTGTGTAAGATGGACAGAGTGAAAGTGGCTGATGGAGAAGGAAGGCTGTTAATGGCGACTGATTAGCTGGAGGCTCTGAGTGCAGAAGAGTAAGGGTTGTGCGTGCACCCTAAACTATTTGGTTTTAAATGGCAAAAGTCTCCACTCCCAGAAGTGATCCCATGAACTTTGCTCCGTCCCAAGAAATCGATCCCAGGATCTTTGCTCAGTAGGCGGCTTCATCCTGTTGTGCACTCCGCTCCCCAGACACTAACGTCGCAGGGCTGAGAGGTGGCTGTGCCGCGGGTGTCTCCTTGATTGTCCGGAGTTACCCGTGTTCTTCCAACCACTGTGGGAAGCCCCTGCCTTAGGATGAAACGGCTGGACCTGGAGCCAGCGACCGTATCGCGTTTAGACGCACAAAGGAACCTTCACCCCTAGCTTTGCGCCGCGCGTCCTGAGGCCCGTCGGGCAGCGCCAGGAAGTTCTCCGCGCCCCGCTCCCGCCCTTCCCTCCGCCCTCGCCCCCACGCCCCACGCGCCGGCCGGGCGGGCCCCCGGAGTCACCTCGAAGCCCAGCCAGGAGTAGGGGGACAGTACGTCGTAGAAGAGCTCCAGGGTCCGCGGCACGGGCCCCATGCTGCAGCCGCCCCGGCCCCGGCTCCGGCTCCGGCTCCGGCTCCGGCCCCAGGGGGCAGCGATCCCGCCCGCTTCCCGGCCTGCCCCGGAGGACCGCCCCGGAGGACCGCCCCGGAGGACCGCCCCCGCCCCGCCCCCGCCGCGCAGCCGCGCAGCCGCGCCGGGAGGGCCGCCCGGGGCCAAGTGTGGCTAAAGGTCGCGGCGGGCGGGCCGGAGGGGGCGGGGGGGGGGCCTCGGAGTGTCCCCAGGCCCCGTGCGCTGCCTCCCTCCCGCCTGGGGAGCCGGCCCGGGGCCCTAGCGGGGGTTTGAGAGGCGCGCCCCGCCCGCCCTGCCTCGCCCCGCCCCCCGCCCCGCCCCGCCTCGCCCCGCCCCGCCCCGCCGCTGCGCTGGGTGCGCCGGCCTCCCGGCCTCGGTCGCTTCCTCTTCTCGCTTAAGAGTGGGCCTACGTGGTGGGGACCCACCCCTAGGTGCACGGCCTAGAGCCTTGTGACAGTGGCTGGTGTAGCTGATCCGTGTGAGTTATTAGCGTGACTTGGCAGTTGCAGGGACTTTCTGGGGCCGGAGCAGAGTAAGAAGTGTCCAAGTCACACTTTCTTTTTTTTCCCCCACTTCTCAGAGCTTAGCCTGGAACATGTTGGACAATCAGTACCTACTCTGAGAGTGAGTGCAGGAGAGGAGGAGCCCTCCCGGAAGGATCCTGGGGAATGGTGTCCTATCGTCTTACATCGGGATTATTTATACCGCAAGGAAATGATTTTTTAAAGTTCCATTGAATTTTATTAAAATTATGTTACTAATTTTATGAATTGGAAAGCACATCATAAAGATTCCACTCCTCATTTGTATTCATTAGAAAAACAACCCTAAGCCAACAGAATAGAAAGACAGTATGAACATTTACATAGAAGTATGAAATGAAAGGAGGATGCTGTTTTCACCCACTTGCAAATTGAACTAATTGCTTTGCAATAACTGAAACTGAAAAATTACGCATTTCTCTAGTAATATTAATTTAAAAGTATCCAAGAGCAATTTAGTCCCATAATAATATTTTAGAAGTAAATCATCACTTATTTTTAAAAACCTTAATATTTAGGAATAATTGTAGACTTACAGAAGAGTTGTAAAGATAGTAAAGCAAGTTTCTACATACCTCTCACCCAGCTTTCCCAGTTGTGGACACCTTACATAACCATGGTATGATGATCAACACTAAGAAATTAACATCGGTGCATTACTATTAACTGGATGATGGGCTTCGTTCAGATTTCACCAGTTTTTCCACTATTGTCCTTTTTCTGTTCCAGGATTCATTCCAGGGTACCGCTTAGCATTTAGTTCTCTTGTCTCTTTAGTCTCTTCCTATCTGTGTAAGTTTCTTGACTTTTTATTTTGTTTCTTGACCTTGACACTTTTGAGAAGTATTGGTCAGATATTTTGTAGAATATCCCTCAACTTGGGTTTGATGTTTTTTCTTGTCTACGCTGGGATTTGGATTTTTTGAAAGTACACCCTTCTGCTCTGCTTGAATTGTATCGGGGGTTCCTGATCCTAGCATGACTTATAAACACATGATGTTAACTTTGACCATTTGGGCAAAGTGGAAAAAACTGTCAAGTTTCTCTACTGTAAAAATCGTTTCCCCCCTTTCATCCTCTGTTCTTTGGAACGAGTCATTAAGTGCAGCCCAGTCTGGAGGTGGGGGTACCGGTTGAGTAGATTAAACACATCTCTTGGAGGGAAAGACATCAAAGAATTTGTGGATATATGTGGAAACCACTATGGTAACCTAGACGCATTCTGAGGGAGATACTTTGAAGCTATAAAATTTCCTGTTTCTTCTTAAACTTTCGCCTACCAATTTTATCACTCATTGGTAGAGTTTGCCTGCAGCAATGATTACTGTGGTGTTCTAATGATGTTTTTCCATTTCTCTTGTTTCTTCTACATTTATTAATTGAAATTTTGAAAGGAGAATTAGAATTGTTCCATTTATGTATTTATGTTTGTATTTATTCATTTAATCATTTGTTTATACTGTATGGGCTGATGGATTTTAAGAATCATAGCGTGGTAAAATGTTGATCTGAGTCTCTACATCCTGCCTTCTTACACTATTATTATCATTATTATTATTTAGATTAAGCCTGTGGGTAATACTAAGTGAGAACAACAAAAAATATTTACATTTCTTTATATATGCTGAGAGGAATGTCTAGCTACTGACTAGAGTTGTTGGCACAAGAAATAATAACATAAGCCAATTATTTATAGTAGCAAAAATAACTAGTAAAGGAACTAAATATGATGTGGTTATCAAACTTTGGAATGCGTGGAGACAGGGTGGGATATCTAAGCCAAATCCTCATCTTTCATGGTCAGTGATATGTCTATATTTGAAACATCCCTGGAGCTTTGGTCATGTAATTTGGCGTTAAATATTGGGAACTACAAATACTTTAAGTAAATTGCCTTTCTAAATAAGTAAAAGATGGATTGCTGGATAAATGGCTTTGGGACAACTGGGAGGTTTAAACAAAATGTAACTGGACCCATATGATGTAACACCTTACACAAGGAACGTGTCTAGCCCGATCAAATATTTTATGTTAAAGAAAGAAACCACTAAAGTACCCAAGGAACTTATGGGAAAATATTTCTTTTAAAAAATCTGGGAGTAGATGGAGTGCCTGGGTAGCCCAGTCGATTATGGGTCTGATTTCAGCTCAGGTCATTATCTCAGAGTCTTGGGATTGAGCAGCATTGGGCTCCCTGCTCAGCAGAGAGTCTGCTTGTCTCTCTCCTTCTGCCCCTCCCCCTGCTTCTGCTCCCTCTGTCACTCTCCCAAATAAATAGATAAAATCTTAAAAAGTAAAATCTGGGAATAGAGGCCACTTTGTTAGCTGTGATAACTAAATGCAGAAACCTTAAAAGGTTTATACATTCAAATACATAAAATTTAAAAATTTTGGCAAACTCCAGTAAGTCAGAAAATAACTGGGAAAAATATTTGAGTTCATTTTACAGTCAGAAAGCTAATTATAATTAACCTAGTGTAGAAAGAGCTACAAAATCAATAAAGTAAAAGAAGCCCAGTGGAGAAATGGGCCAACATATATGAACAGAACATACACAGAAATGGACATATGAAACATAAAAGATTATGCTTGTATATACTTATAAAAACCGTGAGTCAGGATTACACTATGATATCTTTTTATATATCAAATTGGCAGAGATCAAAAAGTTTGATGACTCAGGGCGTTTGGCAGGAATTTGTAGAAAATCGTTGTCTTATGTAACTGGTGGGAGTATAAATTGGTACAGCCTCTAACAAGAAGAGCAGGTTAGCAATATCTTTCTGTTTTACAAATACACCCTTTGACCTAGCAATTCCATTTTTAAGAATTTGTATTATAAACATGTTTGCCTACATGCAATATGATGTGCTATAGGGTTATTTATTACATTGTTTATAATAGCAAAAGATTGGAAACTACCTAAATGTTCATTGATGTGGAGCTAATTCAATTCACCAATATTTATAATATTTTTCAACTTTATTTTTTAAAAAGATTTTATTTATTCATGAGAGACACACAGAGAGAGAGAGAGAGACATAGGCAGAGACATAGGCAGAGGGAGAAGCAGTTTCCACGCAGGGAGCCCAATGTGGGACTGGATCCCGGGACTCCAGGACCACGCCCTGGGCCAAAAGCAGGCACTAGACTGCTGAGCCATCTAGGGATCCCCTATTTTTCAACTTTAGAAGCTCTTTAAATATTAATATTCCATGATACCGTATATATTAATAAGTTAAAAGCAAGATATAAAACAGTACATGTTATTTGCTGTCTTTTTTTAAGGGTTGCAGTACTTTCCAAGTGTGTGGTTTTTAACGGTTGCAACACTTTCCAAGTATGTGGTGTACAGATACACATATGTGCATACTGATATCAGTTGGATGGAGAGACAAAAAAACTGGTGAAACTTGTTGCTCTTGGGGAGGGAAGCCAGTGGACTGGGAGAGGGCAAGGTAGATAGTTTTTGTTGGATGTAACATTTAACACTTTGATTTTTGACCCATTTGAGTATCTTATCTACCCAGGAAGAAAGGCAGGCAGGAAGGAAGAAAAAGTAAGAAAGGTAGGAAAATGCCTTTGGGAACTTGTACTAGCAGAACAGGGAAGGGGATTCCAAGGAGACTGGTTTATCTGATTTATTACCATTTGTATATTTTACTTTGCTTTAAGGAAAATGTCAGTTGTGAAATGCCACGTAGCAACACATGTGACACAGTTTTAAGGTACAATATTTGCCAAGATGCAACTGAGATGAACATCTGGGTTCTTAAGGCCTGACATTTTCCTAAGGATTTACCAAGTGCTGTGTGAAACCCTGTGTGCTAGCTTTTCCCCTGAATAAATCATGCCGAAGTGCAAGAGAGTGAGGTTGATATTATTATGCTTCTAATCTTGGAAACACTATGCTTTATTAGAAGAGATCAACCTTGGCAAACTGGCATACTTGATATATAAATAATAACCTATTTAGCTGAACATCTCACAGTTCATCAGGACATACCAGTGTGACAGCATTGCACACTGAGAACAGCTAGTGTGTGCTGTCATTATACCCTTATAAGACATGTAAACATATGGATCAAAACTAAAGAAAATGAAAATAATTCTAGTAGGGATTATACACAGTTTTTCTTTATTTCTTAGACACTCTTTAAGGCTTTGACAATTTCTTTTTTCTTTCTTTATGGAAGAGCTTTGTTGAAGTGTAACTGACATACAATAAACTGCAAATATTTAAAGTATACTATAAATAAATAAATAAATAAATAAATAAATAAAGTTTTGACATAGGTATGTACCTGTGCAACCATCACCATGATCGAGACAGTGAACGTAGCTGCAAGTTTCCCTGAGACAGTTGGTGAACCCTGCCCTCTGTTCCCAAAACAACCACTGAAAGGCCTTTTGTCACTAGACATGAGTCTGCATTAATCTTTCTGTCACTAGATATTAGTTTGCATATTTCTTTATACATTGAAAACCCTTTCTAAAATAGATTTTATTTATTTATTAGAA